TCCCCTTCTTCTGTAACTGATCTTTTGCATGTTTATCTTTCTTTTCCTTGCTTGACGGTGGTGGATCAAGTGGACAATACCACTGAGGAGGCTTCTGCACCTGAAAGACCAGACATCCCGACACAACAACCCAGTGAAGAAGGTACAGCCTACGTATTATATAAATCCATATTCGTAGCAAGCATCGCGAAATAGTGAATCCCGAAGGATGGCATTTTTCAAGAAGGTCTCAAGGATGACTTCTAGAAACCCAGCTTGAAGAATGTTCCGGTTTTGATGGGAGCGGCTCTCGCTGCGTCAGCAGGTGAAGTGATGAAACCTACACAAAAACATAGCTGAAATAACTTACCTCGTGCACACACAAGTCACCCTGTGGCTTCCCATCGCAGACAATGTTGGGACCCGTAAACTCAACTCTGATGCAGACAAACTGCTCGCGGTCTAAGGCGTAAGGCGGATCGCATGTCCAGTCAATTGGTGTTTGTACTTCCTCCTACAGCAGCAGCAGAAACCGAAAGAACGCGATGCCGATCTTAGCACTCCGTGAACATTTGCTCAAAGTTTGATTTCCGGAAAATTTATCATGAGATACTTTACCTGACAAACTCATAAACTTACTTCCCAACAACCTGGAATGAAATCCAGTCCTTCAAGGCGTCTTCTATGTCGACCGAGCATCACTCCGTTTGTCTTTGCGGATCCTTCATTTCGTGAGCGCACCACCTCAAGAGTGCTGCCAGATGTTACAAGGCTCTCCGTTGGGCCATTGATGAAGAACTGGCGGCCGTCCTGCAACCAGCGAGGTTTCCTCCCCTCCAAGTTCACAGGTGTTGTTTTGGTGGTGGCTGTTGTTGCACTGCCGAGTAAACCATACTCACCCGGAACTGTGCTCTTAGCCACAGAATGAGCTGCAGTGTTCAGCTGTTGAGTTGAAATCGGATCGTCTGTCACTCCGTTGGCATTTTGCTTACTTTGTGAAGACGACTGCATTTGCAAAACCGGGATATACTGCTCTGGAGAGCTCACCGAACTCGCGGATTTGGATTTCCCCTGTTGGCGCGCAAATGGCCCTATCCCATTGCCCACCTGGCTAGCAAATCGGTTATCATGCCAGCCTGCATGACTCCCATAAGGCTTCAAGGTAGGGGCAACTGGGGCTGCCAACATGTTTTGCGGGTACAGCAGCTGCTGATTCACCAATGGCATGACGGGGGATGGTCTGAGGCAAGGATGCCCGAGCGAGTTCGCCAACGGCAATCCAAGGTGAAAACGCGTTGATGCCTCTCCAGAGTATTCTGTTCCTCTCTCAGCAGTTACATGCGCTGCAGAGTGTTTTGCATCTACACTGAAAAGCTCCTGAAGAAGGACTTTTATATCGTCCCTGGCATTCTCTTGCGCGGCACGAGCGAATTTATCAGGCAGTTGCTCAGCAGCCTCGAGTCTGCGTCGGCGGAAAAACTCAGGAAGTATTTCTGGTGAAAGTTCATTCGGCTCAATTTCTGTACTATCTGTGGCGTGTTGCCATTGATAGTCGAATGNATTTCTGGTGAAAGTTCATTCGGCTCAATTTCTGTACTATCTGTGGCGTGTTGCCATTGATAGTCGAATGGGAGACCTTCAGCTTTTCCATACGAGGTAGACAATGGTGGTTCATTTAGCTCGTAGTCGAACGTTAGTCCCATTTCTCCATCAGAAAATATTTCCTGAGTGCCTTTAGGCACTTCATCTGCATGCGGATAAAGCATTTCTGGCGTCTCATCACCAGAAATCATGAGCTTTTGAGCGAAACCCTGACGGAGCGCTTCCCACCGATTTGACTTCGCTTCGAGTTCATCCAAATCTGGAGGCAGAATTTCGCCACTGTCCGGTATCATCTTGGAGTGAGAACTATGGAATTTTTCATGTTTTTTATCATGAACGAACTTAGTGGTGGAAGCCACGGACCCCTTGCTAACTTCCTTACCTTCCCAGGGCGAGCTGACGCCATCATCAGGCGACAGATCACACGGCGCTTCTCGACGTTGGATGCAAAGCCCATCCGACTCATAGAAACCGGGACTGCAAACCGGCCTTGGCGGAATGGCAGTGATGTGCTCGCACATATTGTCTTCGTTGAGGCTTCCTTTTAAACATTCCAGGATGAGAGGAGAAATCTTACGCTACGAAGGGAACAGCACAATACATCTGTAGCGGCGCATTGGGGCTTAATGACTATGGTTCAGTGTTTAGGGTCGTTGGAAATCTTGGAGTCTACTTAAAGCTTGCTTTGCTGCATTTTTCAAGGTATGCAAACTTTATGTGAAGGGAAGTCAATATTTCTGACTGGTGGACGTACCTCAACGCACATATCGCCTTCGAGTTTCTCATGAGGGCCCCAGCAAGCCATCTTCATTCGAGCTGCTCTTGTTGCCACGCACTCCTTCATGCCGTCGACGCGATATTCTATGAATCCTCCTGGGCAGTAAGTGGAAGCGGGCAACGCAAAAACCAAACACCGGCCGTCACGAAGCACTCCGTTGGGACAGACCGCCAGGGGCTTCATTGAATGCGTCATAATGCACTGTGTCTGCAGTAAAGACAATTCAACAAAATAACCGCACAAGATTAACAACGAGCAAGCCGATAATTTGACAAACTGAAGACTGCATTCAACGGTTGGCGCCAACAGGATACATCAGGGAC